AAAAAAACCCAGGCCCCCCCCATCACCCCTCCCCTTTTTTCCAGAACCTCAAAGCCATGGGCCCCCCTTCCCCCCAGAACCGCAAACCATGTGGTAAAGTCCACCATCAATAAATCTTCTTTCCAAGCAACTTCCATGAATCCAGTGTCTTTTTCCCCACTTGGAACTGAACCCAGGAGGACATTTCTTCCAACAATTTGGCACCCCAGATGGGACTCCACACTAACTTAACCAATGGACCTGGCCCAGGTAAGCTTCCCTTGCTGGCAGCAGACCCATTGAGTCTGTGGGTAAGTTTTCCTGGACTTTGGCCATTTGGAACTTGGTTTTAAAGGTGTTTTGAGTGTTGAGCTCAAAGACTGCTTGGAAAGAAGGTGAGTTCTTCTAAAATTTAATTTTAAAGCATGGAAAAGCATGGGAAATGTGCGTATGCCTGTGTATGTGAGTGAGAAGATGATTCTCCCAATCACAGCTGGATCTTGCTTCCTCTATGTGTTTTACCAAGAGAGCTTGGAATGTATAGGGGTCAGGCCAGAGCATAGGACCTTCTGTTAGGGAAAGGAGAGAGTGTGTGAAAATGGAATGAAAAAAAAAAGAATGACAGAGTTAATGTCAAGGTTCCGATGAAAGAATGAAAAACCTAAAACACCAATCTTGGTTTAAATGCTTCTTTATCACACCGGTACTAACTGACCATCAAATTCTTGTGAAAATGGAATAATTGTTGGAGTTGCAGCTCCATGCTCCCCTCCACCTTATAAGCCAATCTTTTGAGCCTTACCTAGCATGCAGTGACCAATCCCTCCCACATTTCCACTTTCCCTCCCACTGAGCCCTTCACCAGTGTCCTATTGGAATGCATACAGTCAAAGACTTCCCAAGTAATCCCTTCCCCATTGGCCTGTTCCTCTATCTATTAAAGATAAGCTCCATTCCAGCAGTTAGACATGCCCCCATGGAACATCACTGATGATTGCTGCCTCTGTAAGCTTTGATTACATTGCGTCATGTTTCCTGGCTTGCCGATAATGGCGGCTGCCATCTCAACTGTTGGGTGCCTCGCGGAAGCCGCCCTGAAGCTCTGATGCCGAGCCGAGTGTGGAGACAGGCAGCAAGGCTCCCACGAGGCTCCAGCATCCTGGGGATCCAACAGTCACCGGAATGATGGTTGTAACCCAGCACACCTGAGTGGCAGCCTCGGACATCATGGATGATGAGGTTGACAGTTAAACTTGAGCAACCAGCTGGGAAGTCACTAAGCAAAGCCCCGAACTTTAGGAAACTTGTAGGAGGGCCAGTACTTGTCTGCCAGGGGGTAGCAAGTCCTCCCGGATGGTCCTGTTTCCCCAGTCTAAAAACTTGGCTTGAGTTTCCCTTTGAGGAGAGTCCACAACACATACTGTGTAAGGGAACCAGAGTCTCCCCCAGACATTTTTCCAGTCTCCAAAACTGATAGCTTGGTGACCTGGCTAAGTCGAAGTGAGCCCCACATCGGAGAGGGAACATGGGAAGGTGTAGCTCAAGGGTCTTGATAGGAACCGCCCTTGGAAATTTGATTGAGGCTTGGGACAGACAGCAGATGCCAGTCCTAGCTGGTATGAAAAAGAAGAGAGAGAGGAAAAACATGTAGGAAATGGGCTTTTCTGAGGGATGACACAGGAAAACTAATTTAGCTAAATAAAGGTACATAAAAGTAAAGGGAAAATGTTGGGTTTTTGTTTTTTTCTTGTTTGTTTGTCGCTTTCTCTGTCTTCTATGGAACCATGTGGTATGCTTGTTAAGATTTGTGCTCTCCCTAATTTAGCTGAGATTAATATTGTGATCGACCAGTGTGTGTATAAACCTCAGAGTTCTGTTTTCCTCTCTTTTTTCCTGCCTGTTTGTGTTTGTGTGTGTGTGTGTGTGTCTAAGTTGGGTGTCTGCAACCTGTGGCTCCGGAGCCACATGCGTAAGGTGACCAGATTTTCAGATTGGTAAAGAGGGACACTATTGACCGGGGAGGGGGCTTGATTAAAAATTTTATATTTTGTCAAAAGGTCACAAAAGGCGATTA